TTTATTGCTTACAATACACATTATTCATTACAAAACAAGCTGTGGACATTAAAGTTCAAATACCTAAAGGAATGATGTATTTTCGCACATGTTGCATATTCTGCTACCTTGAGTTTTTCAGTTTCTTAAAACTTTCCCATTCGAATTATTTTCCACAGAACATCTACCAAATGTGTGGTGGGAGATGGGGCTCTAGGATTGTGCTCCTCAGCCACACAAGGACCATGAACAGTGACATGGAATTTCCTGGGTGGAAGGTCATACTACTTTGTGAGTGATTGCTAATGACAATTTTCTACTTTATGAAGAAATTAGTTATACAGAACTCAATAACATCTCTGGTTCCAACTTATTCAGGTTGTGTGTATCCTGTACTGATTGGAGTTGGCTCTTGGTGCTGAAGGTTAATCTGTAAAGCAAATAACTTATTGATTGATTAAACATTCACATGTCTTCAAGCTCACAAAATTTCTTTCTGTGGTACAAATATTTCACATTTTCTCACTGAACTAACAGCCAAAATTGAGTGTAAAACTTCTGTTTTGTGAATAAAAGTGGCACATTGAAATTGGAAAATTCTTTTGTTGTTTACAGCATGTGTGTTTGGTCAAAAATACAAAGAACACACAGCAATGTTGCAGCAAGAGTGATTCACTGATATTTTTGTAATGACCATGTACTGGAGAAATGGATGAATGTGAGTTCAGTGCGTGTAACTGATTGTAGGAAACACAAGTTCTTTCAGTCACTTGCTGTATTTACATCTGATCCCATCACTGATCCTGTATGCTTCATTTTTCCTGAGATAACTGCAGCCCAAGCTGGAATAAGTCTTTAATTTGTCCTTAACTGACCACTTAAGGGCCTCGATTGGCAGCTGTTGATAATTTCCTTCTTTCACATCAGGCCATGTCCAATTTTTTTCAATCGACTTTCCTTGGGCATGTTATAACACACATCCTGAACTGGTCGAACTTGAACTGGATCTTCCACAGCAGAGGTATGAACACTACCACTGCGCTACAAAGCCGTAAGCATCCTGTATATGTGAAAGCTAATGTGTCTAAAGGCAACGCTTGCCCATAGGAAACTGGCCATCAACTCAGTGAGATTGTTATCACTGATGAACATAATTCATCTTCTCTCTTTTTAATTCTAACTACAGAATTACAAAACAGAAAACTTCATGACAAGAAGTATCTTAATTAATTAATATGTTGGCGTAAAAGGTAATGGCGAACTCACCATAGTCCTACTGGACCATAGGGCTGGTCTCTCATTACAGAGAGAGATGGCTGGTGGTGGTTTAAGCTGAGCGTTACCATGCCTCAGTGTGAGGGGAGAGTTTGAGGAGGAGAGTTCCTCATGGTAACCTCAGCCAGTGTGGGAATTGAACACATGTTGCTGGTGTTATTCTGCATCGTAAACCAGCCACTTAGTCAATGTACTGGATAACGGATAATGGTCACCATAATTCTAATACTAATTTGAATAAGAATAATAATTTATATTCACAAAGCTGTCCTGAAATTCATTCAGTGTTATCATAGTCTCCTACTGGAATCCAGCAGATGTTGGCAGAACACCTGACAGAACATCATCAGTTGCCTTATGCAGACAGAAATGTTATTTCACCAGGAGTTCTGTCCACCTCACACTGTAAATTCAGGCGTGTCACTATGGAATGTCAGGGGGGGTACGTACCTTTAATACAGGACATGTTTTAAGGAACATAATGGGACAGTGTAGAGTGATAGATATGGATGGAATTGAGAAGATATTCATTCCAATGTGATTAATTTCTTTAGGTGGGTTTGAACAAAATTGCTCCCTCATCAAAGTTCACCAGAGAAATGGTTGTTTGGCTGTCTTAGCTGCAGTTGTTCAGAATCTATCATTATTGTCCAAAGAAGGAGTCAGTATCTCCTTCCCTAAAATGCATTGTAAGAATTTTAATCCAAAATGTGATTGGCAGCAATCAACTCCCTCCCAGTTATATTTTTTTAAATTTTGTATGTAGATCTTCACTATGTTTTGTATCCCTGATAGTGTAAATAAAAGGATATTCTCAGCCTCTGTAGGTGTTTACATCAAGTAGAAGGTACCTCTGGGTGACAATGGAGTGTTGTATAGCACTGGGACCCAGTATGATGTTGTTATTAGGTGGTGTGTTTGGACTAGAACATTCTCACTCTACTTCCAGGATCATCTTCAGAGTCAGCTCAGGAAGTTGGGTATAGGTCTTTAATCGTCTGGTTTAATGCCACGTGGTCAATTTTTGGGTTCTTTTCAAACTGGTTGAGAAGGCAAAGTCTGTGGGATAGCATTGAATGGGATGGAGGTCAAAGCACATAGTTGGGAAGGTAGGAAATAATTTATTTCTAATTAAATCAGCAAGGTGTTGCAAAATAATTTAAAAAAAACAAGGAAAATATGTTTTATTATTTTAATGGTCTAATAGAGGTTTTTAAAATGTTGAAAGATTTTGGTGGAGTGGATGGTGGGAAATGTTCCTCTTACAGGGAAGAGAATCTCTTCAATATAAAAGTCACCAAGAAATCTGAGAGAGAATTCAGAAGAAACTTCTTCACACCCAATGATGAGGATGTGGAACTCAGTACCATAGGAAGTGGGTGAAATGAATAGATGGTTATTAATGAGAAATCATGGAAGAGGCTTCAGTGGAGCATAAAACACCAGTATGGATTGGTTGGGCCAAATTTCTGTACTGTGTAGTCTGTATAAAATAATTTGGCCAGTGCACTACAGAAGTTCATATTGTAAGGGCATTGCTAATTCTTTACTGTCACAACAGGTTCCTGTTTTTGATTCAGAGACCAGAGAAACGGCAGCTGATTCATTGCAACATTTTGTTGGAAGAAATATTTTTATTGGTTTTTGCTTCAAACAAATAAGTGCTGAGTTAGAGTGGGACAATAGCATAAATCATGGGCATTTCTATCTGTGCAGCAGGGTGTGAATTACTCCTGCACTGACAGCTTTTAATTGTGATTGCTTTTCACCAGAACGACGATGTGGAAATCTGGGTACACAATACTGATGTCAGTGGTGGGGAAGCTGCTGGAGAAGATACTGAGGGATAGGATCTATTTACATTTGGAAGAAAATGGGCTTATTAGTGATAGGCAACATGGTTTTGTGCAGGAAAGGTCATGTTTTACCAACTTGATAGAATTCTTTGAGGAAGTGACAAAGTTGATTGATGAGGGAAGGGCTGTGGATGTCATATACATGGACTTCAGTAAGGCATTTGATAAGGTTCCCCATGGTAGGCTGATGGAGAAAGTGAAGTCGCATGGGGTCCAGGGTGTACGAGCTAGATGGATAGAGAACTGGCTGGGCAACAGGAGACAGAGAGTTGTAGTGGAAGGGAGTTTCTCAAAATGGAGAACTGAGACCAGTGGTGTTCCACAGGGATCCGTGTTGGGACCACTGTTGTTTGTGATATACATAAATGATCTGGAGAAAGGTATAGATGGTCTGATTAGCAAGTTTGCAGATGACACTAAGATTGGTGGAGTAGCAGATTGTGAAGGGGACTGTTGGAGAATGCAGCAGAATATAGATAGATTGGAGAGTTGGGTGGAGAAATGGCAGATAGAGTTCAATCCATGCAAATGCCAGGTGACGCATTCTGGAAGATTCAATTCAAGAGCGAACTATATGCTAAATGGAAAAGCCCTGGGGAAAATTGATGCAGAGAGATCTGGGTGTTCAGGTCCATTGTACCCTGAAGGTGGCAACGCAGGTCGATAAAGTGGTCAAAAAGGCATACGGCATGCTTTCATTCATCGGACGGGCTATTGAGTACAAGAGTTGGCAGGTCATGTTACAGTTGTATAGGACTTTGGTTCGACCACATTTGGAATACTGCGTACAGTTCTGGTCGCCACATTACCAAAAGGATGTGGATGCTTTGGAGAAGGTGCAGAGGAGGTTCACCAGGATGTTGCCTGGTATGGGAGGGCGCTAGCTATGAAGAGAGGTTGAGTAGATTAGGATTATTTACATTAGAAAGACGGAGGTTGAGGGGGGACCTGATTGAGGTCTACAAAATCATGAGGGGTATAGACAGGGTGGATAGCAAGAAGCTTTTTCCCAGAGTGGGGGACTCAATTACTAGGGGTCACGATTTCAAGGTGAGAGGGGAAAAGTTTAAGGGAGATATGTGTGGAAAGTTCTTTACGCAGAGGGTGGTGGGTGCCTGGAACACGTTGCCAGCGGAGGTGGTAGAGGTGGGCACGATATCGTCATTTAAGATGTATCTAGACAGATACATGAATGGGCAGGGAGCAGAGGGATACAGATCCTTGGAAAATAGGCGACAGGTTTAGATAGAGGATCTGGATCAGTGCAGGCTTGGAGGGCCGAAGGGCCTGTTCCTGTGCTGTAATTTTTTGTTCTTTGTTCTAATACTGCAGGCAGAGGTCAGCCCGATGATTGTTAACACTGGTGAGTTTTAAAGGCTGCTGCCTATTTGCCAAAGTACAGTCCATCTTCTCCTCCAGGATGATGCAAAAGATCAAAGCATCTAGAAGAGAGGGATAACTCTCCACAGGACCAAGAGCTATTCCTCAGCATTTGATACATTAAAACAGTGGTTAACCCTCAAAAAGTACTTAAATGCCAACACAATGGGACATCCTGAGGTTGTGTAAGTCGCTATGTAAAGGCAAGTCTTTAAGCAGAAAAATCACACAGATATCAAGAAAATGTTGAGAAACAGTGTCAAATGAAAGAAGCTGGAGCTCTGTCACTCAGTGGCCTGTTAAAGAAGTGACAGCATGCAAATTTATACTTAGTTTAAATTCCAAAGATGAAATGCCGATTAAAAAAGAGGAGAATAAAAAATGGACTGAGATCTTTGTCGCGACCAAATTTGAATCATTGAACAGGATATAATTTTCCTCTTGAGAGTGAAGTGTGAAGGCCAAAGTTGAGACATTAGTAAATAAGTTGCAAAAAGACAAGACACAAACTTTTGTTTTTTTTTGTATTTTAAAATTCTGCAATCAAAAACACAATAGGACAGTAGGCAACTATATACAACAGCAGTTTTTGGTACGATACAGCATTTAATACAATTGTTGATAACCTGCAAAAACTTGCTTTGTCAGACAAAAGCAGACTTCCTCAGACCAGAAGGCAGCTAAGGCACAATTTCTGTGTTTCGTCTTTTCTCTGCTAATTGGAGGGCAATTGGTGCAAAACAGCTAGTGCAATATTTGCTGAATAGAACATTCTACATACAGGAAATTGTACTGGCTTTCAGAACTTTTGACCCAATTGTCAAATTAAACACCTTTTAAAACCTCAAAATATTTTATTATTTTAAATAAATAACAAATATCTACACCTTTCAATGAGTTGCATGTCGGAATTAGTCCTTTTCTTGTAAGTACATGTTCAGTTTAAAATAATTCTTAGTCTTTTTTTAAATGTTTATTTGGATCTATAATAAAATAGCCATAATTTTTGTTTTAAATTCCGTACGGTAGTCTTTAGTCTTTTAAAATGCAGGCATGATCACTAATTTATTAGGAGAGACAAAGTAATAAGCCAGCACTGACTATCTGACAGTCACGCTATTGTTGACATGTAACAAGTGTATCATTAATAACACAAAGACCCTTCAGTATAGTCTTTGGGCAAGAATTGACCTAACTGTGACTAACGAAGTCCATTGAACAAAATACGTGACAATTTACAAATTTGGTGCAGTGAACAGCACCTGAATGTTCGCTCTGTCATCAGAGACATCTGTACAGTATCTTGCAGTTTATTTGGCAAGTTTAACTTCAATTGCGTTGTGTTCTCATTACAAGGAACAGCTTGCATAGATCATACATTCAGCTCAGGTGAAACAGGCTCAGAAGATATTTCCAGTACCAATGATGTCGGGTAAAATATACTCACATTCACATGAGGTAGCACCCATGGCAGCTCCCCCTCAGCACAGGAGGAAGAAGGCATTGAGTTGACAGCTTCATGATAATTAATACATGGCATTAACAGCAGACAATTGAAAGTGGGACAGCTGGTGAACAATTTCAGAGATTCACATCCATCTCTGCCTCCTCCCAGTGTAAAAAGGCCATTGGTTTGCTCAGTTGTGAAACGGTCTCAACCAACCTGAGGTTTTTAAATGTGCACTTTTCAATATGTTGCACAAATTGGGAAAGGATACTTGCTGTGTACATTTTAAAGGTTGGTTTTGGGATAATGGAACCTTTGGGAATAATCAGTGTGTATTCATAAATGCTCAAAAATCATCAAGCCTGGCCAACAATCTTTCCCTTACAGGTGGGATCTCCAAAGCACATTTCATTCTTTTAAAAAAGCTTTCCATTTTCCATGGCTGAAGACAAAAGGCATGATGATATCCTCTCTTCAATCTCCCACACTGGTTGGTTGTATTTCTGATTTCACCACTCCCAAATTAGGAAGTATTTGGAATCCCCAAGCCTAACAGGAATGTGGAGATTTTTCTGTTGCTCAAACTGCCTGTTTGTATTCTGTTACAACCATTGATTTAAACAGATGGAAATCACGAGATAAACACAAATCATTCACCAACTGGGCAACAGATACATTATTACAACTAAATTGACCAGAATTTAACTTTTAAAATCAGTCTGTTGAAAGTTCCACAAATTTGAGACATTATTGACGTTGTTATCCTAATGTGACTGAGGCAGGATCGGTGTGGGTGAATATCCTGATCACTGACTTTTCTAACCCCATTCCTGTCTCTATGTCCACCAACCTCTTGAAGCGAAGTTATGTTTGTTATTGATTTTGCCACAAATTCATGAGTGGCAGGTACCAGTTCAACCAAACTGTATAAATCAGGTACTTCATGGAAGTGGACAGAAAGTTGATGCTCAGAGTTCTATTATTCATTTCAGTAAATATGTGATTACACATTTTAAAAACACTGTCAGAGATGGAAATCTGGAATAAAAACAATGTTTGAAATGCATTTGAAATGAGTAAACTTCTAGGGAGGGAGGTAGAGCAATTTTTGACATGGCACCATGCAACTCTGAAATGGGAATGTCCACAATAGGGACCCTGTCACTGTCTCCCACCTGCTGGCTAATCTGCTCGATATTCACAGTACTTCCCATGTCAGTTCAGCAATTCTTCATTTCCCCTTTGTTGCAACGTTACCATGAACAAGAAGGACCCTGTGATTCGGAGCAACTGTAAATCCTTGGCCACCCAAGGGTTTTAGCAATTGTTGTTGTTGTTGAGAGTTCACACAGAACAAGTTGAGAAATATTTAAACTGAAAGCAGGAATGAAGTTTGGCTAAGGCAAGTGCTGATCATGAAATGCAACTCTGAATCCATCTAATGTTTAAAGATAAATTACTCAAACACAAGTTATTAACAGGAGTACTGACAAGCCTTTATAACAGAAGTTAAAACTAGGAGGGCGCTTCATCTGATATTCAGACTAATGGGAGCAGGGACCTAAGTTATTCTGATGTGATGAAGTAAATGAGCAGGGCAGTTAGCCTGCCTATTACTCTTAAAAACCCAACAGACAGTAGCTTCATGTACTGAGATCAAATGTGTGTGTATGACACTATCTGTTCACAAGACCTAGCACCTTCAATAGAATTAACAACCCCAGCCTACACATCACATCAAAGAATGACAATTAATACAAACTGCATAGACAGGCCAACATGGAGCACTTCTGAGATGCCCTAAGAACAAATGTAAAAAAAAGTGAAAACGTCCAGATTTTTAATTAACTATAGTAGATAATGTTTAATCAGACATACCATTTTTAGACATACTTGACCATGAGGATTTGAACATAAAGATGGGTTTCTGGTGCTGTAATCAAGAAGCTTTTTCTTTGAAAGTGCAATGTGATTTTTTTTGCAAAATTAGATGCAAGTTTTCTTTAAAAAAAAACTAAGTTTACAAAGGAATGTCTGATCTAAATAAGTTACTATATCATTGCCATGAAAAATTAGAATAAACTCTAATTTGCTTTGGGGTTGCTAACAGTGATGGTTTTACTACATCATTTTCTGAACCTGGCTGCAGTATAATGCTCTGATCATCTATAATAGAATAGCCAGTGCTGAGAGCACTGCTTCAGCAAAGTGCGTTACAACCCATTTAGGAGAGTTGACTCTCTCTTTTACAGCAGGTGTAACTATTGATTTCAATTTAAATAGTCCTGTTGACAGAAGCTTTGAGACCCTCTATATGTTTTAGATCAGATACAGTTAAAGGTGGTAGGAAGTCTGGGCACAGGCCTTTGTTAATAAAGGCAGATTAGTAATAGGATATATATATAAACCAAGCTGCAAAAGCAGCTCCTACTCATTAGTCACTGACTAAAATGTTTAAATAAATAGAGTGCTAAATTTTCATTCTAGACTTTCTGCAGTACAAGATAATACATCTGTTCTTTCACAGTACCAGCACAGCTAACACTGCTTACCTCTGTCAAAATCAACATCTTCAAGTTTAAATGCACTGCCCTAGCTTTGTCATAATTCTATGAAGACATCCGGGAACTGTTGCTAAGAACTAATGGGAAAACCCGATTGGCAATTTGTGTTTTTACGATGGTTCAGGGGTGCATTAGGTGCTACCTCAAACGGCCATTCGCTTTGACTGGCCCCAATTCTGATTTGGGGTCTGGACTCTCTGAACTCCAGGTTGTTTGGCTGCAGGTTTGCATGATCGGGCAAGAGGTGGGGCCACTGGCACAGATATCCACAGCTGACCACAAACTGTTGACCATGGGATCTACCCAGCCCTCCAGCTGTGAGCCAGTGAGTGCTGCATTATGTTTTGCCTGTTCCACTTGGTTGGGAGTAGTGTGTATGTTCAGGGTATTCCTCAGGCCTTGGAAACTCTGTTCCATGTAGGCATTCTTAGACGGACCACTATGTAACTTGAGGGTTTCTCCTGGAAAAGAAGAGAGGAAAGAAAGCTCAATGAAATACCTGCAAACACAAACACAATACCTAGCGTACTTCACATTGGTAAATAATGATTCTTTTTGAATATAGCACATCATTTCTCAATTTCTATATTTAAAATCTGCCAACCTTGGTTCACTTTCTTTGCATTTAGATTTTATACTTATACAATGGTAAAGAGTTTGAGATGAGGCTGAGTTGAGTACCTTTCACCTGTTCACGTATTTGTCCACAACTGCACCTATTCATTTGCAGCCACATTTCATTCAACTAGATATAACAATAAAGTTTAGCTTGTGTGATTACACATTTGAAGTTTGTGTTTAAATGTCATCAAGTTTCTATGGAGACCGTCAACAATTACACTTTTCATTTACTTTATTTGTTATGTTCCTGATGATGAATGGAAACTGCAAACACATTCAAAGCTCATTTTGTTGTCAATGGATTTGATTGCAGCCAGAATGGTATAAATTCAATACAACTCCCCCAGTCTCAGCATTCAGCTATAACCTCTCAGGGCAGGTCTCAATGTCAAAAACTGCCCAGTCTTGCTTTTTACCTCACCGATCTCATCACCATTAATAACTGACAGCTCACCCACTTTAAGCACACACAGCATCACTTGTTCTGTTGCCAGTGCTATTCTATCCTTTTGCAAATTAAGCACTTCATAATTCACCAATTCAACAAGTCTCGGAAGAGGGGAAAGAGGGACCTGGAGAGTAATTACAACCAATCGTCACCTCCGGTGCTAAACACTTCACCTCAGAAAGGAAAAATCCCAGGTAATTAAACGGCCTAAATTCTCAAGTGAGTGCACCATTTGTGTAGTTGAGTTGGTATGTGTAAATCTTCACACTTGCAAAAGCTTTTAGAGGAAATAAAATTAAACATGAAAATTTATATCCTGTAGCTTGGTACTTCAGACTTTACCCTAACTTGATTTTGGTGTAAATGTATTTTGACTCTCAGAAAAACTACACAGCTCGCCTTCCACCATATTCCCTCATGCCAGCCCAGATTTATACTGAGTTGGGCAGAGTCTAAAACTGGTGGTTGGTCCAGATTTTCGCCAGCATGGGATAAGGGTGTACACATGCAACACACCCACTCTTGCAGGCTCCAACGTGGGGTTGGAGAATTCAAATTCCACCCCTCCCCTTGTAATTCTCCTGGAGGTGGCCCTTTTCATTATGGGGACAAAGCTGATGGCACGTAAGTGGAGTTGAGAACCAAGGGGGGAGCCTTACCCGAAATGGGGCACTGAGAGAAACCAGCCACCTGCTTTTAGAATTCTTCACTTTCTGAACCATCTTCTGTATCTTCGAGAAAAGTCAAATCATCTGTTCTTGCAGGTTCAATTGATTCCATTGTCTACAGCCTTAATGGTTTATTTTGACAGTTGAGCTCATTATGAATACTTGGTTGAATTTCAAGAGCCAGTAATCTCCAAAGTGTTCATGTTCACAGTTTGACTAACTTAACCCTTTTTCAATTGTGTAGAGTTTTTCTTCTCCTGTGCAGTGCACAGCTCTGCTTGTGTTCAACAGATGGTGCTGCACCACATGCAGTAAGATGGTGGTGAGAAGAGAGGTAGGGAAAATAAACAGCAGGATCTCCCAGTCATCATGGCTTTACAGCTAGAGAATTGCAAGTGAGATCAAGCATTTCAAACCCATTAAAAGCAGCTTTTTAAAACTGAAATTTCCTGATAATTCTATTTTAGTGCTGTGATCTTCTGTTTTAAAACTAAAGCTTGCTTTAAATTACGTTACTCATTTTTTTTTTGAATTAAAGAATGCCCTTCAATTAAAGTGATTATTCAGCTGAGAACAACAGAGAGCAAAGTTAATCCACACTTGTTATAACCAAAGTCAAGATTCTTAGCTCTAGTTGCTACAGTTCTCAGCAGTATTCCTTCAATCCCCACGACAAATTATTTCTTTATTAATTGGGAGAGTGTAATTTAAGGGAGACAATTCAATAAATTTTAATTCTTTATCTTGGTTTTCAAACTGAAAAGTAACTGATAGTTGCTTCACGTAATTTTGACCTGCTCACCACTGTTTAACTTCTGTTGGGTGTTGGTTTGTTCTCTCTCACCTACATTCACTGGCAAAGTAACTGTACATAGTACAGTGGGTATGATCACAGGACTGAGCCAAATACATTGGCTCTGTTTTCCTTCCGGTTCAAATTGACAACCGTGCAGCAGATAATGAATAAATGCGGAAAGCTTTAACAATCACAGACGGCAGGACAGATTATAAATAGCACTTGCAAAAAGCACTTGTGATGTTTTTACTCAATGATTCAACTGCCCAGAGTGAGAAAACAACAAAAGTGATTAAATCAAATGAGCAGCTCAGTCTAAATCGCTCACATTGAACTATTGTTTCACCTGTTTCTTTTTCTAATATATAAACACACTAGTTTTATTGATGTCAGTGCTCAAGTAGGGTCATATTTCCCAGCAATAGTCCTGACCTGAATCCCCCATTTACATCAAGAGGGCATCGATGACCAGCTTCCAGACCTGCTGTTTCCAAATTGTTCTAGCACGATGGTTTTAAAACAGCTGTACAGAAGGAGTGTTAAAATCCCTGCTGTCACTTTAATGCCACTCTCTTCCACAACAGCTAAGTAAGGCCATCAGAATGTACTTTGCTATACTCTCTCTTTGGAGAGATGTCTACCCCTCAGGAACACTAACCGAGGACAGACAAGTCCTCTACTATTCCTGCCTACAACTGGCACATGAAGATGCCACCTTTTTAAAAAATACTCCTATTTCACAATGCACAGTATTGCAAACAGCAGGAATTATACACATTCATAATGCAGTTTGTGTAGCAGGGCACGAGACTGAGAATGATCTTGTTCATACGGATTGTTAATGATTTATTTAGAGAAATCGTTCACTTTTTATTCTAACACTTCAAACTGGATACATTAAAAATACCATAAATTACTGAATTTATTTCAGGTTACATTTGGTACATGGGTGTATATCTCATTGAAATTTGGTCAGAACTCAGGGTTGTTAGGTATTTTCATTTCCTTTAAGGTGTGGCACAGTGGCTCAGTGGTTAGCATTGCTGCCTCAGAGCACTAGGGAGCCAGGTTCAATTCCACCCTCAAAAGACTGTCTGTGTAGAATTTGCATGTTCTCCCTCTGTCTGTGTGGTTTTCCTCCTGCAGTCCAAAGACGTGCAGGTTAGGGTGGACTGTCCAGGGATGTGCAGGCTAGGTGACTTAGCCGTGGAAAATGCCAGGAATATGGGGATAGGGTAAGGGGGTGGGATGCCCTTCAGAGAGTTGCTGTGGACTCAATGGGCTGAATGGCCTGCTTCCATACTGTAGGTGCCCAAAGACCCATACACATGGCGAATTACGGGCAGGAGGGTGTGGGGGTTATGTGTGGGCATGATTCTTTAGGACATTATGGTGTGACATACTTTAGCTGGTGTTTTGTACTTGACCTATAATTTCCAGTCACAAAACCTGACCTCGAGTTTCCCACAATCCTGAACATGAATAAGGAAACAGTTCAGATGTAATGGTGGTTTGGGTGCAGTCAGGCTTTAGGACCATGGAACAACCTTATGATGATATCATGCAGTTGCTTCTCACTGGGTATAAACAGCACAGTGTGGGTGGGGTTAAGGGAACACATGGAGAACTAGGCAGAAGCTTTAAGTCTAGCCATTTGAATGTTAGAACCACATGGGGAGAAGCTAGTGGAATGGACCAACCAGCATTAGGTGGGAAGAGTTTATCGAATGAGGTAGCATGGGGCTCTAGCAGTCTCTCAATCAAAAAGGGCAAGGCCCCTTATGCCTCAACAAGATAAACTTGGTTTCTGACCCCACAGGGATCCCAAACCTGCTGAGTATTTTTGCATTTTATAATCTTACTGTTTGAATATATTTTACTGGTTAAGATTCAAAAGTACTTTTTAAAACAAACTATCCTTTTGGTTTACCACAGCTCCAATGACTATAATTTTAGGAAGTGAATTTAATTGCTAGCCGTGTGATGAGTAAATTGACTATTTCCACGCGTAGATGGGGTTAAACAAAGTGCTTGTTAGCAGTATGTTTATGTGGGTCCCACCAATCCGTGATATCTATGATGAACTAAGATTTAAGTGATGTTTCTAATTATGCCATATCCTTCTCAAGCTGCCAAGGTGTTTTATAACTGGATTGTTTTCCTGTGTGGAACACTTTGAAATGGTACACAGTAACTGATGATATCTTAATATATCTTGCAGTTTGAGACAAAAGTCAGCTTGCGAACTGACATCACTAGAGGTAACACAAAGTTGAGGATAACTTTGCATTACAGATCAGAAAACCACTAGCAATATCACCACCATCCTTAGTCCCTGTGGGTTAGAGAGGAGATACATACCCATGTGGCTGTGAGGCGACCCCTGCTGGACAATGTGTATGCATCAAAACCTGAGTCAGCTGTGATGACTTCCTCAGATGGATGGCTTAACACACTTCCTGATCAGCTTCACACATGCAGTGCCCACAGACCCATACACACGGTGGATTACGAGCTGGAGGGTGTGTGTGTGTGTGCGTGTGTGCGTGCGTGCGCGCGTGCGTGCGCATGTGTGTGCGTGTATGTGTGTGCGTGTATGTGTGTGCGTGTGTGTATGTGTGCGTGTGCGTGCGGGTGTGTGTATGTGTGTGCGTATGTGTATGTGTGCGTGTGCGCACGGGTTTATGTGCGTGTATGTATGTGTGCGTGTGCGCGCGGGTGTGTGTATATGTGTGCGTGTGTGCATGTGTGCGTGTGCACGTGCGTGTGTATGTGCGTGCATGTGTGTGTATGTGTGCGTGTGTGTGTATGTAAATATGTATGTGTGCGTGTGTATATATGTGGTTTGTGACACTATTCACTTTCTCACCTTCAGTAACACTTGTCCTTTGTGATCAGTATCAACCTACTTGCTACATTACATGCAGTAATTGAGATGAATAGCATCGACTTTTTGTTTAGGAAAAGCTGGATAGTTACATGAGGGAGAAAGCAATAGTCACATTTGCAGATGGGATTCGGTGCAATAAGGTGGTAGGATGCTTGTGTGGAACATAAACCCTGCAATGGACCTGTTTTGCTGTAACACCATGCATTCCTGCTATTCTCTCAAAATACAGCTCGGCATGTGTCTCACCTTTTCCAATCGGCTGCCTGTTTGAGAACATCAGCGGAGTCACCAAAAACTTTGTCTCAGCCACCGGTGTCCAGTGGTGCAGAATCTTGACAGTCCAGAGGCCTGGGCGCAGGGGCAGTTTCAGTGGAGGTTTGTAATGAGTGAACTCGGCACTGGACTCGATCTGAATATCATACGTAGCTGCAATGACGTTAATTGGATCGATCCAAACGACAGTGACTGTGGCGTTAGGGCCCTTGCCCCACTTCTGCATGCCAATAGGCTCATCCATGGGCCCAATGAGGCCACCATAGTTTCGGAAAATTCTCTCCTTAGCATCCCACTCTGTGCCAATCTGAAAATAAAATTCATAAAAGCAGCTATGAAGTATAAAGAATTGCCCAGAAATGATCCAATAGAAACAGGAATAAAATTAATCAGAAGAATCACAATAAGAAGAACTGTTTTGATTAGCTCATCTTCTAAACTGAAAGCAGGCTCTGGCAGAGGAAGTCCAATAGTATCGAAGATTCTTTCTGAGTGGACTCTTGTGGTACAATGGTAGTGTCCATTCCTCTCAGCTAGAAAGTCCAGGTTCAAGTTCCACTTGTGCTAGAGGTGCAGGTTGATCAAGATCTTTCCTAACACTCCATGCAATATTTACAACAAACACTTGATTTTGTTTCAAAGGAGACTGCGTACACTAGGAGTCTCAATGGGGGAAGCCCAGCAGCTAGCGTTTTGCTGTTAACTGCATTGAGTTTTATTTTCAATCCATTCATGGATCATATGCTCTATAATCACTGGCCTATTCTAACAATAAGTGGGACTGCCTTACACCAAAGTGCCTTTTGTAAAGATCATTGTAGAGTGAAACCTCACTGGGCTCTCTCCTTTCACCTACTGTCATTGATGCTGCTGTTTCAATAAAGCATTTTTGTCAGAAGGCACAAATAAATGGTCTCTCTATAGGAAAGCGACAGTTGTCCTGAATAAACTTAACAACTGACTTACTTTGCCTTAGAGACTTACCAGAGAGATAGCTCTATAATGCCATACCTAGGTTTTTTTGTTGATGAACATAAACAAGAGTTTCTGTCATCAGTCTTGTAATTCAGCAAGGAGGTCATTCTAAGCTCCTGTTCTAAGACTGCATTTCTCCCCTGCTATTGCTCAGCAGCTCTCTGCAGCTGCACAGACAACACCAACTGAAAGTGGGTTTTCATGCTGAACTATATCATGTGTTAGGAAAATAACTTGGTTTAACAGTGATCGTACCTAGAAACAGTGACTGACTGAAGTAACAACTATCACCTTTGATTGCCAGTCAGACAGATGCACACCGCTGAGTGCACATTTGGGACTATGAAAAACAATATGGCCTTTAGCAGATAAAAGCTCTGTTCTTATCATCAGACAAGTGAAATTTTCTATTCTCCTATTTAGACTAAATATATCACTAAGCTATCTGTACAAGTAAAAACAAGGGTTTACCACAGACAGTAGACTTGATCTGTAAATTAAAATTCTGCCATGTCCTGCTGACAGCCAGTCTATAGCAAAATTTAACTGTCCACATTCTTTCAGTGACAGAGTTCATAATTCAAAACTGTAATTAAGTTAATGGAATGCTGGCTTTTAGCTCAACAGTTTGGAATTCCAAAGTGAGGAAGTGGTGCTGCAGGCACAAAAAGCCTTGGGCAGACACCATCTGGATACTGCAGTCAATTTGGGTGACCAATCCTTAGTGAAGCTATACTGGCTTTGGGAGGAGTGCAGCTCCAATTCACAAGAATCATATTATAATGTAAAAGCTGAAAGTTTGAGGACAATTAGCACAAACTAAGCTTGTATTCCATTCAAGTTAGAAGTTATACAGCTTAATATATTTAAAATGATTAAGGAATCTGATAGGATAGATACACAAAATGTATTATCCTTGTAGAAGAATTCTTAGCAAGAATATTAGAACTAGATTATTTTGCAGTGAAATTGAGAAGCACATTTTGCACAAAGGATAGTGGACATGTTGTATTGTCCTCCCAAAGGGCCATAGATGATGGGTCAGCTGACCTTTCCAAGACAGAGATCAATAGATTTTTGTTAGGCAAGGATATCAACGGCTATGAGACCAGAATAAATAAAACCAAGGTTAAGGAATTCGCTGTGATCTAATTAAATGTTGCAGCAGTCTCAAGTGGATAAATAGCTTCCTCTGGTTCCTCCAATTTTTAAAAATTCATTCACAGGATGAGGGTGTTGCTGGCTAAACAGCATTTATTGCCCATCCCTAATTGCCCAGAGGACAGTTGAGAGTCAACCACATTGCTGTGGGTCTGGAGTCACATGTAGGCCAGACCAGGAAAGGATGGTAGTTTCCCTCCCTAAAGGGACATGGGTTTTTCCGAGAATCAACAATGGATTCATAGTCATCATTAGATTCTTAATTCCAGATATTTTTATTGAATTCAAATTCTACCATCTGCCGTGGCAGGATTCGAATCTGGGTCCCCAGAACATTATTTGGGTCTCTGGATTAACAGTCCATCCACAATACCACTACACCATTGCCTCCCCATTAATGTCCTATTGAGCCTGCTCTCAGATCAGCTGAATTCTCGTGGACCAGGGGAGACTTCAGCGAGCCTGCATAAATGACTGATTGTGGCGCAATTCCCAGCATCCCCAATTTTCTTCATGGTGAAATGGTGACATGAGGAGGGTTTAAAGTAAATTGGTAAGGTGTTGGAAACCAGAGGGGATCTCCAGGTTGGACAGAAGCAAACTCTTATCAAGAAATAGAAAAACAGTAAGCAACTGAGCACTCCCTCTTTTCTCCTTCCAGTGAAAATGGTGTGGAATTGGCTAGAAATGGGGGCAGGACATCAGATTCCTGATCCCACTGACCCTTCTGCAAAATTCCGGCTCTGCTGTTTAGTTACTCCTATTTAGCACTCACAATGGTGACTCAGCACAAAATGGCATTGGTGGATGCTGGGTGATAAAATCAAAGATTTTTATAAAATTTTGCAGGTGTAGCAGTTATAATTGAGACAGCAAATTCCTTTATTACAATAAAATTTAATTCAGCTTCATTTTTGGTTGTTTACCTCTGCAAACTGTAGCCGTGCAAAGTCATTGGTGGGATTCAAAACTTTAAACATTTTTCTTGGCATCACCCAAGTCTCAAGAGTTTCCAGTTTGCTGGTGGCCAGATTTGTGGCATGGTGTTTCAGCAGATAGCCTTGGAACCGGTCAGTATAGAAATAGAGATGAACCGAGACTGGGTTGCCCATAGCGTAATATCTAGAACGAAACAGGAGCAGAGAGAACAGTGTTAGCTGAGAAAGAACAAGACCAGTGGATAGTTTAGAGTATTCTTCAGATGCAGTCATGGAAGAGCATTTAAGCCACAAAGACTTAAAAGGCACAGAGAAAGCCATTTAGAACACA